GCCTAGTGGCAACATTTTTAGCTCCTTTTTCTAGGGTTTACTCTGTTGTTCTTAGACTTTTTTTTTTTGCTTTCTACTGGTATGTTATGAAAATCTCGAGATACGTTAAAGGATCCGATCAAAGTATAAATCGAAATGTAAGATATTACAGTATTTGCTTTTAAACTTTATATTATCAATATACCATCCTATTATTTATGTTTGCTTGTGTTCAGATTCGAATCAATATGTCATACATTTATACAAAAATTGTCATTCTTTGAAAGTCAATGATCTACCAAATAAACATGATCGAGTATGAAAATTTAGTCCTTTTCCTTGTACCTTTATTGCAAAGACCATGAATGCTTTAATTGTACAATAATAAACTGATATGAGAGCGTGAAGGCGGGATATTGTCTTTGGAATGTCTAAGCAAGACCTTTGAATAAGGGCTTTTGGGGGTGTGATTTAGAAAGTCAATTGTTGGGGAGCCATTCTTGTCTATTGATAACTTTCTTCAGCTTTTTGGCGGTAAGGCTGAGAAATTTAGGTGCCTGTGACTAGCATTTAAATATTAATTTATGGTCCAAATGATATTTCCTTGTTTGACCTTGGAGAGATACTATTGCCTGTCCATGTTCACTGCTGTTGAGCTAAATTGAGATGGGTTCTCTTCATCCAGGCTTTAGGATTCGATGACATACGAGACTGCAGGATGTCCAGAAAAGAAGCTTGTCTTTAATGGAGAAATTGGAACCCTCTCAAATTGGATAACCGTTGTGGGTCACTGCAATTACTTAGTTACAGCTTAAATGAGAAGATTGAATTTGGGTACTTGAACTTCTTGCGAAAAATAACGTTTAATTATTGCTCTGTGAGCTATGTTCAGGGTTGGCCGGCCATTGAGTCATCTCTTAAAAACAGCTTTTCAAGGTTGTTTTGAAAATTGCAATTCACCAAATTTGCTGGAGGGGTGGACCCTTCTTTGTTTTAGCTTTGCTCGGATGAAATCTGATTTTTAAAAAAAAAAAAAAAAAGGAGAACTGAAGAGGGCAGAGCTCGTTGGGACACATTGGGCCAGCATGTTTAAAGCTACAGAGAGTGACATTGACGGTCCATATCTTTAATAGCTATAACAGCAGACACCCTTGTCCAGGATGAGAGTGTTCCAGGCCACTATAACTTTGTTGTGGCCCAAAAGAGAGGCCGAAAAAATCTTTGTCGCTGATTTTGTTATTGTCCATTTTAACAAATTTATGTTTGCCAAATATGTTGGGATCGAAAAATAATCTTTGCTATGATCCAGGTAAAATGTTAAAACCTTAACTTTAGTAATATAAAATTTAATTTCTGATAATCTCAACTACAAAAGAAAAAGAAATATGAACTTTGTTTAATTGTTTACTATTCTTGGCCATAATGGCCAGGTTATGTAATGAAAGAAAAAGAGTCCGATAGGGATTCAAGAAAACCTTTGATGGTGGAATTCAAAGTGGAATTTAATTACTAATGCTTGAGATCAGATAAAATTTATTACAAAATCTTTACTCATTTGGGAGAGAAAATGAAAATCAAAGTAATCAATTATGTTAAAATGCAAACTAATTGGATATGATTCAATTGTATTACATTTCGCATTTTTATCTAATTGCTTTCCTGCATAAGTTTGAATACATGATTAATAGATTTTCCATTCGAAATATTAAATATGGATATGAATGTCAGAAAAAATGGAGAAGATTGCAAACAATTATATCCACTCATGAGTGAAACATTTTATAAAGAGGTGTTTATAATTCAATTATGAAACTTTTCTTCCGATACTATCTAAAAGTGAATTTAAATTGGATCACCTAATTTTTTTTTTTATTTGGTGATGATCTTATACCTACGTTTGCATGCAACTCTATGTAAAGGCTGATAAGAGAAAGCATATCTCTTGAGCAACCTTACGAATGTAATTGCACAAAATGGTGCCTAAGAATCTAGTACCTAGACCAATTTGAATTGTTCAATATTGGATTGCAAGTAGAATTGGCTAGCTGTTTCCTAATGTCAACTTAAGTGTCATGAAACAATGCACGTAAATTTATTTAATTCAATAATTAGTGTATGTAATCTCTCCTTCAAAGAGTTTGAGTTCGAATCTTCCGTTTCTCTAAAATGATGATAAGTCTAGATTTATAAGTTTGAATAACTCTCCTGCAATCCAAAGATAAGATCTCACAATTCAACATATCCTCCAAGGACCCAGATCAAAGAAAAAAATAATGATTAATTACATAATAGTACCATCCCATTGCATTGGAATGGAAAATTTAAAGGATTCATCTGGGCAGGAAAATCGAATGTGGTTACTAGATTTTACTAAAACTATTTGCTCGCTAACCCTAGTTAGAGCAAGTTGGTGGTAGGAAACTAGTGAAGACGATTAATGTTCTAAAGCTGTTTTTGTCTAGGCTTTATTGAATTATATACATAACTATAAAGTGGAAATTTTACCATTTTCATAGTTGACTATTATAACATGTATGCCTTCTTGAACATGCTTTCACATGTCTGTCACTCTCTACATTTGCAAAACTAATGAATGATCGAGTAAATTTCAAAGATACGGTAGTTAACTCGGGGATCATTCTTGATGGTTATCCGAGCATACGACATCTTGATGGTTATAGATGGGAATTACTTCATCAGATGGGAAAATCACTTATCTACTGCAAATTACTACCTTTGCAACAACTTAATTTGGCACAGTCCATTTAACATTTTAAGGAAGCTGTCTATGTAGCTACTATATATACTCATATTGAATAATTGTTCAACTTGATCTGAAACTTATCTTAAAATATTATTGATGCTTACAATATAATTAATTCAAACTCAAAGGGATTAGCTCAGTTGGTAAAAGGAGCTCTTTTTTTTTTCGTCAACTCAAGTGTGGGGAGCACTTTGGAAGTAAAATTTTGAATTAGGCTAATGTGGGAGAGTGTGTTTTTAAAATCATTAGAGAAAGAGATTTGACCCAAACAAAAATTAGGGATACCCCTAACTGTATTACTAAAAAAAATGTAATTCATTCAAAAGATTAAATGCTTTCAGCATGCAAATTAATGTCAACGATATAATGTATGTTTTTAGGTTTAAAATTATTATGATCTTAATTAATTACCAGGTTCGATATATTTCTAGCTTTATCTATAAACAATAATTCCTAATTCTAATTAAGGATGACTTAATTAATTAGTTTTTAGAACCTTAGGGATAGCCACATACAAAATATGGGGTTAATTGACCCCACTCAATTCTCCAAAAACTAATTTAGCATGAGTATCTTAATAAATTTTTGTGTAATTTTTTAATGTTGATCTCACTAAAATTAATAAAAATCTGAAAGGAGAGTGAAAAAATTTCTCAAAAATCATATATTTATTTTTGTATTTATATTTATATTATATATGATTATAATTTTTTATTTGATACAATTTGACTACTAATAAGAATAATTGATTAAAATGTGAAATGTGGCATATTTTCAAATATATTATCATAGATTAGTTTTTAACTTTTACTTATTTAAAAATATTATCTATTTGCTAATGAAATTTTATCTCATTAGTAAGAGGAAGCCTTCAAACCTTTAATTCTTCAGGTTTAAGTTCCATCAGATGTTGGTTTTATCCAAAATTACTTAATGATTGGTTATTGATTATTAATTTAATTTGCTTATTGTTTTTCTTTTTTTCATAATGTATATTAGCTTTTTAAGGAAATAACGAGATAATATATTTCATAAATTTCTAAACTTACAATTTTAAGATTTAACATATAACTTTTTTCAATATATAATGTATATATATATATATAATATTATGTTATATAATCAAAGTTGAAATGTGATCTAATTGAAAAACTTTTTCTGCTAAGCCTTGAGAGCCTATATTGTACAATATAGTATTAGAGCCACATATGACAAAGAAGAAATTCATCCAACAATTGTATATATAAATTTCACATGCATATAAAGAGCCCTAGGATAACTACATATATGCCCTAGACATTTACAATATGGTACCATAAAATTTGACAGAGAAAACATCAATGTCAGCACTTACTTCAATTACTTTATGCACCAAAAAATTATGATCTTAAGGATAAGATGTAACAATGGATATATTAGATTAAACGTAAATCATTTTGGTATCATCCTGCTTTTATAGGGATTGTAAAATCCAAGAACCGGCCATTTAAGTTTTAACTATGTAATGCAACAAATCGAGCAATTTAAATCATCAAAAATACAAAAATTTGTGACATTATTCTCAATTAAAAGAAAAAAAAATAGAAATGCAACATGATACCTTTTTTTTTTTTTAATTATTTTCGCAAGAGTTTATAATAAAATGTCTAGTCTCAACAGGAAATCTACACGAAAATTAGAGAAGACAAAACAAAAAGACAGATACTATGTTATATGTTGCTTGATCAGATTCAGAGGATGCAATTTCAGGTTTTGAACTTTGAATTGGCTATAACTAAATTATATTTAGAAAGGAAAGGAAGAAATTTGAGTAAGAAGAAATGTAAAATATATATTACATGTTAAACATATTCCTTTACAATCACAAACAAAATTTAAATAAATGAAATCTGTATATAAAACTTCTGCTCACTTCTACCTAAACACACTGTAAAAATATACATACCTCAAGGGGCATTGATTATAAACTTATAGTTACCTGATCAATTCATTCGGGACGATTCGTCGATTTTGGTCTCAATTCATTCCCAAACAAGAAACCCCTTTTCTCTTCAATCCAATCTCAACGGACGTCCACAATCATTTCTAAATTCTTAATATCTGAAGGAAGAACCTGATAAACAATGTTTTGTGCTGAAAATAGAACTTCATAAAATCAAATTGCCCTATGAAACAGTACCTGTCGAAACAATTTCTTCACTGTACAATAAAATTCATTAATTCTAGAATATATGGTTATGGATAGAACATTACTGTACTATGGATCGTGTCCGAGTCGAAGCTCCAAATCCACTTCATCTTCCTTCGTGATTTCCCTTCTCACTTCACTATCATCTACATTTGTAGGGCCAATTTGAAGGCTCAGATTTGCACCCAAAAGCTCTTCGTTCGTGGTCAAAGATTGCGACCGGGCAGGGGGGAGAAAATCACAATCATAATAACCATGCGGAAGTCTAGGGTTAGACACTGGTGGCTGAAAACACATGAGATAATTCCTTTGATCAGCAACCTCCAAAACCGGGTAGTACTTTGATGGTTCAGTTGGGTTTGGTGAAACATATCCAAGGTTCATGCAGTCCTCAGTCATTGGCTCAATCGGAACTGAAGAACTGGTTGGTTGCTTGGCCTTGGCTCGATCTTTTCGGTGTATGTTCATGTGTCCCCCTAAGGCCTGAGCGTTGGTGAAGCCTCGCTTGCAAAAGATGCACTCATAGGAGCGCTTGATGGTTGCAGCGGTGTCGCCTTTGACTTGATCAACCCGATCATTTCGCTCACTCGAAGCATCAGAGCTTCCTTGTTTCCCTGATTCCATCCCCAACTCGAAATTTATCAAAAACTTTTCTGGCTAATTACTCTAACAAAGAAAGACTTCTTAATTAATTATTAGCTAAACAATACTCAGAAAGAAAGAAAAAAAAAAGAGAGAGAGAATGGTGTTGGTTAAGGAAAGAAGGGAACATAGAGACAATTAGAAGACATTGGCTTTGTCACTGCATTTTCTTTGTATTTGCATTAGAAAAGACTAGGTTTTGGCGTTTGCATTAGGACATTTCCTTTCAGTCGGCTTTATGATGTATCAATCATGTTTAGTAATCCATTTTAGAATATAATTTAATCTCTCTTTCACAGACTTTGATTTGGTTGTGAACTTGTGATTAGTGCTCATGTTCCTTTCAGCCAGGTTCTCAACGCGGTACCTCTTCTCTTGGGACTCTTAGTATTGACTAACATACTGATTTTTATGATTAAGCTACAAATAGAAAGTGAAAAATGACCCAAAAACGTTTTCAAGAAATACCATAAAGGGTATTTTGTTTTCTAATTTTTGGAGAAAATTTTATCATTGCTATCTTGGAGAATATTGTGAAACCTAATTGTGCTTTTGAACTTCATATCATGTAAACTTATTTTTGCATACAATATTTGTTGTTCACGAGAAAGAAAGATATATATACACTAATTTCAATAACTTGATCCTCATATTTTAAATGTGAATGCGAATCTTTCACAAGTGGGAGGGGAGATAATACTGAAATTGCGTGATGCATGGCATGAAAAACAAAAGTTATTATCAAACCGCGTTGTTTAAGCATCTTTGACATTGTTTTCAAATGGGCTTTGAAAGGCAAGCAAAAAAATCAGATTTTTTCTAAAAATTCCTTCTCCAGCAACTCCCTATAGTAAGCAAAATGGACTTCCAATTTCAGTATCACCTCGTTTGTTTACCTTATTTAGATTTCGTTGATGAATTGGGGAAAGGGAGATCACGTGACATATTTCCAGATTTCAATTTTTATGAAAAATTTTGGAGCAAATTAATAAATTGGCAGCATTCATGTGACCTGATGGCATGCTTCATCATCAAATAAGGGGAAAAAATTAAAGTTTTCTTTGATCAGGCGCATGTCCTATTAGCCTAATGCCTTCATCTCATTCATTTAATTCAAGCTAGCTCCAACTAAACAACTGACACCAGTCTGTAATCTAATCAAAGATTAGAAGGAAAGAAGGGAGAAGTTCAAAAAAGAATAAATCGATGTAACCGATTAATTATTTTTATTTGGAAATCTTCTAACATTCCTTATGTCTTTTAGTGTATCCTGATTTCGTTTTAGAAGGGTAATTTAGGACTAAGACGGCCAGATACTTAATCTTTGACCCTGTCCCTTGAAACAGCTGCTTTTTTCATTTTTAAATTTATGATCAAATGTGTTAACCAGTCTTAGTACAAATGGAAGATGGGCGTCAATGACCACAAAGTAAGTGCTGTAGTGCCAGTTCATTCATTGTCCATTTCATCTTAATTCAAAAGAATTAATTAAGAGGCTTTGACTGATACATGGACATGTGAAAAGCAAAACTTAAAGCAAAGAGCGAATTGCTAACTTTAATGTTTCTTGGCTGGAAGTTCCTTTATAATTTCCCCCCAGAAACTCCATCATTGAAATGGAGTTTCTCCCAGTTGCATTAGCCTTACATGCAGAAAATGTCCCCGATTAATCAGTTCGGTGTAACGAAAAGGAACATCATTTACAGATCAAAACCCACAATTAAGGTCGAAAGACCAAATGAAGCAAGAACGATGGTTAATTTATGCTTGGGAATTGAATATCCTTAAAGTGTGAGTTTTGATCCTTGATTCTGATTTTGACTAAACAAAAGTTTGATACAGAATCATCCTAAAGTTAAATCTTACATTGAATATTTTTAGTCCTGATTGTTTAACAAAAATGACGGTATTACGCGTTGAAATTCTTTGAACAAAAGCACCAAAAACACAAAAGATTTATTCATGGCAGCCTCTTATTAAAAAAATTTCTGCCTCCCTCGTCACAATAGCAGCAGATGAACTTGAGAATTCAAGTCATGAGAATCAAGGATCCAAAACACAGGAATGCAATGGAAATGGCAAGAGATAATAGGGTCACTGAAGGTGGAATCCGTCCTTTGCCCTTCCTCAACATCATCCCTTCAATTATAGGGTAATGTACCATTAAGATGTAAAATGAGAGGAAAATTTGTCCAAACATCTCATTCCAACTTCCCTTGATGATTATTCTGGCAACCCCTCCGGCGAAAGAAATCATGTTCAAGGTGACTAATGTAACCAATGGAGCAAGAACGATGGTTGATGCTTGGAAATTGAATATCCCCTTTTGGTAGAAAGTGACTTGCTCATCATCTGCAACTTTATTTGTGGGCACGAAGTTAGCTTCTCTCAAACCAAAACAGTTCAACACAGCGTTCAAACTTCCAATGGTATAAGATATAATTGACTTCATCATCCAAATCCTCTGTTCATTCAACCATGTCCAGATTGGATTACCCGTTGATAGAACTTCCTCCAAATGTTTAAAATGTGACATGATAAAAATGTATGAGAAGATCATAAACCAAGAATTTGAAACCTGTGTAATTAAGAAAGAGAGAAAATTCAGATTCTTAAAATCCATTTTTGGTATAAAGGAGACTGTAGTGGGGAGATAAAGAAAGGGGTTGCAATTGTTAAAATTTAAACTCTAGACCTACTAGTTGCCACATCTTAAAAGTGATTACATGAATCAATTTAACTAAATTTTGAGTTCATATCCTCAAAATCCATTTGCCAAAAAGAAAGAATTTCTTTTAATGAACTTACCTTGGGGTACAGTGGAATGGCATTTAAGAGGCAAAGTTGAGGAATAGTAGCTAAACACCACATGGGCAAGGAATAGAGCGGCTGAAGTGAAAGGTAAGCATAACACGTTGTTTGCAGCAGAGACATTCTTGATATTAATCCATAAATTAGAGGAGAAAACCTTGAGAGGGTAACTTGAAACACCCCACAGTTCCACCTTGCACCTTGCAATAATGTGTCATTCAACTTTGTTGTAGCTGTGCCCAAGAATGCTGGCCTTGGGGGATTACAAAAGACAGATTTCCACCCTTTGCAGTGCAAATTTAACCCAGTAAAATAATCTTCTACCACAGAATTATACAAGAATCCAACCTGCTTTTTTAAGGAAAGAAAAGATGAGAATTTGTGGCACATTAAAGTAGCATTTGAATTATGAATGCCAATGCTTGCCTGCTTTCCCCACTGAGTTTCTGTCTCGTATGTGCAGGAGGCCAAAAACCTGGTTTCTTCTAGCAATCTGCTGATTGGCAAGTCATTGTTGTTCGCAGAATTGTGATGGTTGCTTCGGTGAAGTGATTTGACTAATTCATTTGATGGACCAAGATATTGTTTTAACTGAATGGGGTCGATATCTGGATTCAAAATGAAAAAAAAAAAAATAATGCCATAGTCTTAGTAATTTTTTCCTCTTAAATTTGGATATACATTGGTCACTGAATCCAAGTAGAACTATTTCATTGTTCAAGTTCAACATGATGAGATCCCTCATTACTTTTGCTTAACAGGATTTTTTTCACCTACCTTCTCGTACTACATCTCCATATAATGCCTGTCGCTTCATGTAAAAACAAGTTCCAGATAGCATTGGTCCCTGCAATCCATCCATACCAGGCCACTTTACCTAAGATTGAGATCCAAGAATTGTGATTAAAACCGTATCCGGCATCAATTATAACATGATTATTGAGAAACACGAAACGAAAATGATATAAAATGAGATACGAAGTAATAGTTTAAAATTTTAATAAAAATTATATATGAATTTAACAAAAGCTAAAATATGTATTTTGTATTTTTTATATGAATAAATAATTTTCAGTTAAAACAAGATACAAATATATGAATTACTAGTGTTTGTATAATATGAATATACGAATTAGCAATTCTACAATTCTAAAAAACACAATTGGTTCAATTGAGGCCAAGGGATCATTCATCCTCTACGTACCGAGAATATAGATCTTAACTGGCCATCGTAGATATCCATCTTACTGAGATTGTGGAACATCTGAGGGAATTGAACAAAAGCTAGGTTGGAAGAGATTTTAGGATCCAAGTGGAAACACATTGCTTGTAGTGCGGATGTTGGGTCATTGCAGCGCATATCACAGTCTAATACCAAAATATAAGGGGAGTTGCTTATCATGCTGGAGACCCTAAGCTGCAATGAAAGTAAAAACAAAAATCAACTTTGAACCTGACAATCAGTTGTGTTGTGCTTGACAAATATGTTAGGAAAAAGGCATAAAGGAATTACAAGAACATTGAGTGCTCCAGCTTTGAAATGGTGAGGAGAAGAAGTGCTTTTCTCACGAGAAACGTAGACAAGAAGTGGCATCTTGGCTTGATTAGTGTCGGTTGCATTTTGGGATGCATCTTGCATTACCTGCAAAATAATTTCCAATGCATCGTCAGGCATGGCACCTGACCTGAAAATTCAGGTATTGATAAGTGTAAAATACGAAAATTATCGTATCCTACATATTAAATATAAAACATATTTTTTATTATTTTCCAATCCATATACAAAATTTTGTTAGAATTTTAACTTTTGTGTTATTATATTTTATATTATATTCAAAATTATCAAATTAAAAATCACACCCACAGTTCTCTGTTGGGTCGTAATTTGTGAATCGAATTCTATCTGGACCTTTGGTCCTTATCACTTTGGGTCCTTTTGATCAGCTGGAGGATTGGTCATGGTACTGTTAGCAAAGCCAGAAAAAATGTGCCGATGGGCCCCATGTCTTTACATGTTAAACCCGAACATATAATAGCATGGGATATCATATATGAATAAATATATGAATAGGAAAGTAATAAATTGATCTAAAACTACTCAAATTGAATGATTAATTTTGAATCCTACTTTCCTCTAATTTCAAAGGAGTGTGTAAACAACATTTTATATTTTATTATTATTATTTTTTTTTCCTTCTTCTTCTTTCTTTATCCGGTTTAGTTTGATAAAATTTGAGTGCATTAAATGCACTCTCCCTAAAGTCTAAAATCACCACTGGTAGTCGCCTGCCTAATTTGACAGTGTGAATCTCGACCACCAAAAGTCTACCATGTCAGTTGAAAATTTGAGATTTGAATCTTAAAAAATCTAAATTTTGAATTTCAAAAAACTCTATAAATAGAGTTCATTTCCTGCACGATTAAGAGAGAGGAGGAGCCATGATTAAAAAGCCCAGAAAACTCTGCAAAAATATTTTTTTTTGTCAAAATAAAAAAGAAAAAGCTTTCATCAAAAAAAAAAAAGAAAGAACTAAAAAACTATAGTCCCCAAGTAGGGAAATCTAGCACCAACATAAAAAAAAAAAAAAACAACACACAAACACAAAAAAAATTTTGGCAGAAACTTTTAGGCTAAATCTGTATCGTTTGGAGCTTTTTTTTATGAAATGGAGGCTAGATCTATGTTTAGGGGGTTGAGGGAAATATTTTAGGTGATTTAGCTTTTTTCGGTCACTTGCGACGGCGGCCGACGACCAATGGTGCTAGATTATTTTTAATAATTTTTATTAAAAATTATTTCAATAAAAAGGTTTTAATTTATTTTTTTCAAATAAAAAATGAAACAATAAATAATAATAATTAAAAAAATAATTTTCAATAAATAAAAAAATTAAGAAAATTATTTTTCAAACACCGAAAATGAGACTGTTTTTTATCAAAATCAAAAGATAACGTATAGTTAAGTGATACCGTTTTCAAACAAACGTTGTGAAAGTGCTAATTCTTCTTCACGTGTAATCGATTCTTGAACCTAGACTATTTCATAAATCATAAAATTATTTTTTTAATAAATTTTAATTAATTATAAAATTTTATTAAAAAAATATATTTTAATAAATGATCAACCATATCTAACTAAAAAAAATAATGACGACTTTTTTTTAATTTTTTATTTAAATACATTGGACGACAAAACCATTACCTCAAGTGAATTATCAAATTCTCTTTTTTTTTTTTCCTATCAAAGCTACTCCTTGTCTCTTCCACTGTCCCTTTCCCCCCCAAAAGTACCAATCACTAGAAGACTGACAAAAAAAATTAAGAACAGTATGGCCAACAATTAATTAGCAATTTATATATACTTTACAGAGATAAATATTTGAAAGTACCTCGATATGTTCTGCATGATTTTTACTATTCAAAATGCTGGTTTCAACGAGCATCCTTCCACTTTGTTCTGCAATCTTCACGTGCTCTTCGAAGAGTTTGTACTTTTGCTGCACCATTGTTATTTGTAAACTCAAATATCAATTATTATTAAATGAAAAAAATAGAAAAAAATAATTTTGGTTGTTCTTAGTAAGGGAGAATTTTTTTAAAAATAGAAAAAATTGTCAATTTTCACATTTGCTAAAAAAAAAATCATTTCAAATTAAAAAAATTGTAAGAAATATGAGTAATATTGCATATTTATACAATTATCCATCATGTTTAAATTTTATCTTTTTCACCTTAATGAACAAAGGGTGAAATAATTTTTTTTTTCAAATTTTTATCTTTCTTGTTTAACACTCCAATGAAATTTTTATATATTTTTCTATATTTTCATTTTCATTTTATCTTCCTTTTTTTTTTTTTAATCTTTTCAATTTTTTATTCACCCTATCAAGCAAATTCTAATTGTGAAAAATACTTTGACTAAGAATTATCTATATCCTATATATAAAAACTATCCCTAAAGGATAGTGTAGTGACATGTGGCAAATCCCATGTGTTATTTTTAATTGTTTTTAATTTTTTAAAAAATATTTTTAACGGTTAATATGTTAACATTTGATGAACCCTTTATTTATCATGTGAAAATTTTTTAAATAAAAAAATTTTCAAAAAATTATTTACTTAATTATAATTATAATAAAAAAATATAATAAGAATTGAGTCGATGATGTATTGTTGGCAATTACAATGCCCTCAAATGCTTTTGTAAAGAAAAAAACATGCGCCTAAATAATAAAAAAAATCCATAAAAATATATTTAACTTATCAAAAAAAAAAAAAAACAACAACCTTCAAAATTTTAAAATTAACAAACATATTAAATTTTAATCACTTATTAAGACAAAAAAAATTGCAACTAAAAATAATCAATTGAAAAAATAATTTACATGAAAATGAACTAAAAGATCTCACAAAAAATAATAAAAATTTTTTAAAAAATTATCATATCTAAAATTTAAATATTTTTAAAATATATTTTAAAAACTAAAAATATTAGATTTGAGATTTTTTAATAAATTACAAAAAAATTAACAACAACCATTTAATACTAGCAATCATATAAAAAACTTTAGATATAAGATTTTCAAACTCTTTTTTTAATTTAAAAAATTTAAAAATTAAAAAAGAAAAAGTTTTTTAAACTATATTTTATAAAAATTAAAAAATCCCCATGAAGCAGGGGTACCATTCTAGTATCTATCAAAAAGCACCTACATCAAACGTCACACGTTAAAAAGTGTCACACAAGGAAGAATATGGAACCAAAGATGAAAACCAACGTCTTCTACACAAAATTAGTGTGGTTCATAAAATATGACAAATCATATATAGAGATGAAATGCACAAAATTCTTGACTGAAATTGAACTAATCTGTCTGTTTCCAAAATGAAAAGAGGAACTAAAACTGTATAGCAAAAATAAGGGGAGTCCAGAAAATATGTTCAAACCTTGATCTTCTCTTTTTCTTCCTCGTATACTTTTCCCCCTAGATCATCATCGTACCTTGAAAAGTAGACCTTGGGGCAGCTGGTTTTTATCCCAAATCTCCTACAAAATGGAAGCCAAGACCTACAAAAATCCCAAGCCTCTCTCATAGCATGTAATGTTAAGGCAGAACCTCCATCATCCGAAACATAAACCGAGAGCTTCCCTATTGGATAATCCAGTGCCATTGCGGATACAACAGTGTTCATTACCTCCAAAGGCGGCTCCTTTTCGGGGTCTGCAGTGCATATAAACACATCGATTCCCGGTAGTTCATCTTTCTTTTCTTGCAACAATCTTTCAGGGAATGTTTGACGAGAAACGGGCCTCCATAGATAAGCTTGGCTGAGGAGCCAAAGGAAAGAAAGAATAAGCTCAGAGGCAAAGACTAGAAGGTGAGGGAGAGAAGGTCGTCTCGAATGCAAAAAAGAAGAAAGTCTGTAGAAAATCAGGGAAGTTATAGCTATGGAATGGAGGAGAGCGTAAGAGCGGTTGATTATGGCAGATTTTTTCTTGGGGTTGCAAAGATTGAAGGGAAGAGTCTCCATCTGGGGTGGTAATTTCATTTGCTTGATCATGTCCTGGCAAAATTAAATTTCTCTCATCACCTTCATTATATAAATGGGTTAATATTTTAATGTTATCTTAATTATAGTAAAGGTTTAAATGACATTTAAAATTTAAAATTTTTTTATGTGATTTAAATTATAAATCTATTAATTAATATAATATTTAAAAGTTTGTTTATCGGGTTATTTTTTTAAATTAATTATATTTAGAGTGAATATTATATTGCTGAATTAATTTATAATTGAAATATAAAATTAAAAATTTTTAAAATTTAAATATCATATTAAATATTTAATTATAATTTAATAATTATTTATATCGTTAATCTTTATATAATTATATTAATAAGTCCATTTTTTATATATGTTCTTGAAATTATTAAATCAACTTACGAAATTATGAGTCTGATAAATATTTCTTGTTTTATTAATTATAAATTTATTTTAATATTTCATTTTAAATGAAAATTTTGTTATTGTATCATATTTAGATTTAAGATCATAATTAACTGCATTGTTAAATATTAATTATACGAGATATAATGAAGTTCCCATTGTTAAAAATGGGACCAAAATGAAATAAAGAAGAATTAAAGTGGACAAAAATACGGCTAGTCGGTAGAAAGATGACGTGATTTGGGAGAAACGTGGAGGGTTCAGGGAACTGGACAAGGACAGGCAAAGAAATGAAAATCAAGTGACAAAGAATTTTGTAGTTTTCACCATTTAGCCCACAGAAAGGATAGTTCTTCTAAGCTTACGGGAAAAAGTTGCGCATGGTATTTGAATGTCTCGAATCCTGGTGGACAGTCTCAATAAATTAAAGAGTTGCAAAATGCAAATAGAATAGGCAATTGAATTTAGAAATTATAAAATATTTTGACAGTAAAATTTATAAGTGATATATTTAAAAAATTAATTAAAAAATAAAATATATATCAATCTTTTAAATGGACTTATAAAATTAAAAATTTTATTGATAATTTATCAATTTGATTAGGTAATAAATTTTTCTTTCAATAAATTTACAAATAGATATGCAGCAGCTGTAGTACTAGCATGAGATTTTTGGTCAAAGATAAACTCATTTTATGGCTTGCTCTCTAAAACGATGAAAACGATGTTTCCTATTACATAATATGTCAAAATGAAAATAACTTAAAAAAATGAAATTCTTAACTCAATGCAAAAAAATAAAAAAAAATTATAAGGAATTCTAAGTTAAATAAATAAACACTGCTTTGGAGTAATATAATTCACAGAAAATAAAAAGTATTTGAATTCTCTCCAAATCATTTTTATAATTCATATATAGTTTACTCTTTCAATATAAAATTATAAGAAAATTAGTAATAAAATTAAGTTCAAGAAAAATGATGAAAGGAAAAAATTGGAGCACGAAAGCTTGCACTTTAGTTGTTGAGTAGTACATCTTCTCGAAAATTAAAGGTGAAAAGATGCCACAATATCATAGGCTACAACTCAAGTTGAGTTGGCAAATGATAGCTTTTATATATAACTCAATTATTTATAATTGTTCTTCTTTGGTAAGAGAAGAAACTTTCTTCTTTTATCAACCTGGGTTCGGTTTTTGTGAGAGTATTTAGATTTCATTTTTAAGATTATCCGAAAAAATTACTCCAACAAAGCATGTGAATATTCTTAACCATGTTATATATATATATATATATATATATAATATATATAAACTCATTTCATTTATGATAAATTGCACATTTGATCATTTAATCTTTTTGAGAATTTTATTTTGATGATTCAGTTTTGAAAAATCATAATTTAATCATGATAAATATCTTGCTAAACAGGACAAGGTAGGCATAATCCGGTGACAACGTTTTTTCAAACAATTTAAGACAAAGAACCCCACTGGAGATGGCTAGCATAAGGTATTTAACTGAAAAATGAATTATATATGTCTATATTTTACAATTATTGATTCAACATTTAAACCCTAGATTAGTTTTTTATGGTGAAATTTGTGAAGTTATGATTATAGTCAGACCGTTTGTTTATATTTATTATTTGATCAATATGACCGTTTGAATTGGATCTGATAATTTAAAATATGACATGAACATAATACAAAAATAAAATACGAAGGTGACACGTTTTAAAATTGTAATAATAATTATATATAAGTTTAATAAAATAAAAAAATTATATTTTATTTTTTTTGTCGATACCAATTATGATATGTAATTTTTGTTTAAAATATAATATAAATACACAAATTTTAATATTTTACATAATACGAATATACAATCATCATGTCTAATTTGAATACATTTCTCTTGCATATAAAAACCCCATTGATGAAATGTAAAAAGTACAGAAAAAAAAAAAAGGAAGGTTGGTGATTGATCAATAGATTTTACATTCTAAAATTTTGCATGGTATCAAAGCCATCCCAACCTTGAGACATTTTCCAGAATTAAACTTACTCTCTCATTCATAATGACAACTTCAAAGGAAAAGTATACATACTCTTTAACCCTTAATATTGAAAATTTTATATCTTTGAAATTGTCATAATAAATTTATGTTGTGGAAAATTCAAATGATAGGTTTAATTGAAAGTAAGGAGATGACTGGCTCTGTTGATGAGAGTTATTTTGATGCCTAAAGAATATATCTCAAGCAATGAGATCGACAGAGAGGTGAAGCGCATTCAAAATCCAAATTACAATCAATGGAAACGATCAAATTGTTTGCTTCACGGATGGATCACTGGCTTTTTATTTGATGAAGTCCTTAGTTTAGTTATTGGACTTGGTACGACATCAAAAATACGGAATGCTCTCTTGGATTCTTTTGCACAAGGATTATAAGAAAAAGAATATTATTTAAATCAAAAGTTATAATTACATAATCGAAAAAATTTTAAAACTATGATTGAATTTATTGATGCTTTTAAAGAAATTTTTTATGATCTTGTTGCTTTAAGATGTCTTGTTAGTGATTGTTAAAAGGTATTTGGATTTCTCAAAGGATTGGACTCTGTATATGAGCCATTTGTCACTAGCATGCTAAAACCACCCTTCCTTCTTATAAAGAATTGGTTCCTTTTCTTCAAGGCCATGAAACAATGAAAAGTATTCATGGTCATGAAGATTCCTTTGGAGGTGCAAATATTCATACTGCCTTTATGACACAAAGAGCATAAGGAAAAGGGAGATTTTCTAGGTGTGGAAAACAATGGACCTTTAATTTTAGAGGTCGTGGGTTTACACAAGTTAATCATTACGTTAATCGTGAAATTAACAAACAAGCTTCAAATGATGATCTATGCAATCAAGTATCCAATAAATGAAAAGAAACCAAAGTAATGTGCCACATATGTGAAAAGCCAAATCATACAGCTATTCGATGCTGACAGCATTTCAATCAAACATATCAACCTGAAATAGCATTTTCTGCACTTTCACTATCTGATGGCCAAGATTATACATGGATCCCCGACATTAGAGCAACTCAACACATGCTTTAGATTGTGGTAAGCTTAACTTTTACATTCCTTATTCTGGATATGATAAAATAATGGTTGGAAATGGAGACAATCTTGATATTGCTCATGTTGGAAATACTTCTTTGAAAATTGGATTAAATGCCTTAAAACTAGATAATGTGTTAGTTGTTCCTAAAATCAAAGCAAATTTATTATCTATTGACTTCACAGTTTCCTTATAATGTTGAATTTTCTTATGATGGATTTATAATAAAGCATAGGAAAACCAATAGAATAATTGCAAAGGGAAATAAATGTGGCAATTTTTATGCATTAGTTCCAGAGTGTGGTGATATAGCCTTCTCAAATATATTTTATGATGTCAGTAATGATGTGTGGCACCAACGACTTGAACATCCAAATGCGAAAGTGATTAAGTTTTTTAAGAAGAATAAATTGATATCTTGCAAGGATAATGATGCTAGCAATACTTTTTGCAATAGTTGTCAATTAAGAAAGGTTAGCAGGTTATCTTTTTTTTTTTTATCTATCCATGATTATTGCGATGAACCTTTAGCAAAAATTCATTGTGATTTATGGGGTCTTGCACTTGTTGTTTCTTTTCAACATTTTAAATATTATATTGTGTTTATTGATGAATGCACCAGATTTATATGTTGTGTTTATGGAGTGTTTGGTTCACGAAATATTAAATTTTGAAAAGGAAAGTGATTAAGGGAGAAAGTGATATTGAAGGAAAATGTATAATTTTTAAGTTTTGTTGATATAAAAAATGTAAGATTTCTATGTTTAGTTCATGGTAATATAAGATTACTTAATAAAGTCTTTTATTATATTACTCTTGATAACACATGAATAACCCATGACATTTATAATATTGATATGTGAATAACATGTGATATGTGAATAACACGTTATCTTTGTTGTAACTAAATAATTCTAAAAAATAATTTTTATATTTTCAATAAATATAATCTTATAGTTCTAATTACTATCCTAATGTTATTGTCCCTACATAGAGTAAATATATATTAGATTTCATATAGAAGAATATTAAATAAAAATATTTTATTTTTTATTTTTCTCATATTTTCAACAAATATTGTTTTTTATTTTAAAAAAGTCATATTTTCAACAAAAGTTACGATTTTATCTTTAAAGTATCATTTTTATTAAATTCTAAAAAATATATTTTTTATGTTTTTAACAAAAACTATAATTTTATCTTAAAAACATCATTTTTATTGTATTCTGAAAAACATAATTTTCATATTTTCAACAAAAACTACGTTTTTAATTTAGAAATGTCGTATTTTCAACAAAAAATATATTTTATTTTAGAAATGATGTCTTTGTTAAATTTTGAAAACTACATTTTTTTTTCATATTTTCAACAAAGATTGTATTTTCTATATTAGAAACATCATTTTTTCAATAAAAATTATTTTTTTTATTTTAGAAACGTCGTTTTTGTTAAATTTTGAAATATAACTTTTTTCATGTTTATAACAAAAATTGCATTTTTATCTTAGAAATGCAATCTTTTCAATAACAATTACATTTT